AGCTCCTTCCTGCTTAGATAGAAAAGCTTCCTTTGCTTTCTTTCTTTTTCTGAATGCTGCCCAGAGGAACGTTTTCTTCTTTCACTCATGACAGCTGTTCTGTGCATCTAGAGCAGAGAGAATACATATGCACCAGCAGCAGACACAATTTTCTACACTCTGGGTCCTAGTGGCCGCCTCAGTTTGCCTCATGGTAAGACCAGCCCTGGAAGGGTCAAATTATATTTTAACACTTCGCTCGTTGAGGAAAAACCTAAAGTTTCCCTTGAGAATTATGTTTATCTTTAAAATAACTTTCCATTCCAAAATTCCTAACCATATATCACTCAGTGGTTTCTCAAGATGCCCTGTGGCTTTAAACGTTATCACACTTCCAATGAATGAAAGCATTCATTAATGACTTAACTTGAATGTTGTACACAGCTATATATTTACCTCTCTTGACTTCACAGGTATCAAAAAACTTGGACTCCAAAAGTGGATTATTGCTCATTGGAAAAAGAAAAAAGATGATCAACGTGAGATGCTGTATTCCTAACCGACTTTATTTAAAAGATGATCCCTTGTTAAACAGAGACATTGTAAGATGTAAACAAAGTGCAGTTTATCAAATATAGTATCCTGTCTTATATTTTTAACTAAAGCATTACTTTTATTGATTCCATATTTTTAGCAATTTTGCTACCCCCTACCTAGATTGTGCACAACGTTTTTCTTTGAAACTAAGTGCAGTATATATAGCCTGAGATACATGTACAAGTTGCTGTAAAATGGGTCATATATAATGTATCATCTAATCTATTATCTAATGAATTAGTTCCTTACAATCTAGTTAATTAGCTATCTTGGCAACCTCAAATTAGATCAGAACTTAGAAAATAAATTTACAGGCACACTGATTATAGCTAAACGGATTCTGTGATTGGTGGACTAAAGACTGGCCCACCAGCATTCCTAACACTCTCTCTGGCCTAATTTGATTAGAACATCTTTCAGAATTAGGATGACAAAGGCCCAGGGTTCCAGGAGATGTTGGGGGTGGCAGCTATGATGGTGCACTTTGCTTTAATAACATACATCTGTTCTTCTGTCCTCGCTACATTGAGTCTCTTTCTTTAAGGAAAATTGAAAAAATGGGTAGCATCAGCCATCTCCTCATTATGATGTCGACCAATTAAGCCTGACTCACCAGTTTAGGTTCATTAATTTCTGGTTTCACATTTTCTGTTACCAGGCATAGTCCTTGAATTATATCAGATCTGTTTTTGTTTAAAATAATTCAGTTTCTCTGCTTATTTTCTTGCACCTGGTTTTTAATATTCACTCTTGAAAAAACGTGACTTGTTTTCTCCAGCATTGGTTGTTATAGGTTATTGTGACACAGGGTGCTGTTTACAATTCTTTTTGGAACCCAGTGTCCTGGCTGTTGAGAACACACAAAGTACTGGCTAGAGTTGGAGTAGGCGGGAATGTAGTAATCTCATCAGGTTCAAGAACTGAGAGGGAATTGCTTTCATTTGTAGGGAGTCTAATGAGCTAGTGAGCTCACTTAAACATAGAAGGAAGGGCAAAGGAGGGAAGAGGAAAAATTGGGTTGAATTGGGAACTGAGGGCACTTGAGAAGGTTCTGAACCAAGAATGAGTCAGACTGGTAGGACTAAAAAAGGGGGAAATGAAGTCAGCTAGTGAATGATGTGTTGGTGAACTGGTAGCATATGCAGTAGGCAGACAGAGAAATGATAGGTGAAAGCTAGATTCATAAGACAGAGACTAAAAGAGAATGGTAAAGGGGTCACAGAGAATAAATACTGTTTCCTCCCACGCTACCCTTTAGTGAAACATGACCCAATTTTTTCATTCTGAGGAGCAGGAAACAAAAAGAAATGGCCCCTTTTCTTCCAATTTCACCACTAACCTCCCTTTACCCACCCCTATCAACATGCTTCCCCATGATACTCCAATGTATATATGTCAATCTTTCACAAAAGGGGATCTTTGTTTTAGGCAGCATTGCTACTTATTTTGCGCTAAGGCCCCCTCCCTTTATGGAACTGGCTGTCCATTATATCTAATGTGTTGCTCTTTAACACTCAATATCCTAGTTTCAGATGGAGGGGTGGGGATAAACAGGAGCAAGTGTCAAGCAGGGCCTCAGATGCAAGAGGCTAAGCAGGGGCAGGGCCTGATGGATCGGGGGGTGGGACCACAGTCCATGTACTAGGCACCTTCTGAATGCAGTCCTGGTGCCATGATGCCGTTGGCACCATTATAATATATAAACCTGGTATATAAACCTGGTATTGACTGTGATAGTTATTGATCTGATTCTGAAAAATATCTGTCCTACTCATCTTTGAAATTAGTGGCAGAATTCCCATAAGTATATATTTATTTATATATTACATTTTCATAGATGCTCCCCAATCTGGGAAGCAGGGAACATGCTTTCATCAGTAGTATACTGATATTTGTCACTTTTAATTATATTCCCTTTTGCAACCTTTAATATTATACCATCCCTCTTTACTGAAGTGAACCATTTTGAATCTATTAGGATGCTGAGAATAGAGCAATAAATGTAAATATTGTTTAAAAAGCATCACTGCAGGCACATTATCTCCTTTCATTAGAAATTTCTAATTGTGTGTGTGTGTTAAGACTGTGTCATTTTGGCTTTTTATTAATAAATTAGGAACAATGTTTTAATCTGGTCTAAGAATTTTAAAGTTTATTTTTAGCACTCTTAAATGATCAGAAAGGAAAATGAAATATTTTTAAATGCAGGTGACCTTGTAGAAATCACCTGTTATCTACAGTTCAACTGTAAGGAAAAATTTTGATGACTTCAGGCTGCTTGTAGTGTAACTCTGTATGCCAGACACATTTGACATGGATATTAGATTTGGAGGGAATTAACTCCACTGCTGTCATCTCTTATTTATGATAACTAGTCTATTAACTGTAGAAATAAAAGCTGGATGCAGCCTCTTCAAAACTCATTATTCAGAGAGGTAAGATAGTTGTGGAAACTGAGTACAATCTGGCTCTTTGCCAGCTGTGTCTTACTTCCAATAAAAATGGCAGTGGTAGAGCTTATCTCTTCAAAATTACAATATATCAAATACATTTAGTCCTCTGCATAGTTTACGTTAGAAACCAATAGAATTCTTGTGCCAGAAGAATAAAGATATTTTTATCACTTGGGAGGTAAAAATAAGTCATGCAGGAAGGATTTTTGCATTCAAAATAGGCCACAGCAATAATAATTACAATAAATGTAAAGGTGGAGCACTCCTGCATCTATTTCTCATCTATAAGCAGCACCTCAATTGGCATTTCAGTTGTAACAAATTGAGAAACTTAACTGTAACAACTCACCGGGACTGCATGGCATTCACCCAAGAGTTCTGAAAGAACTAAAATGTGAAATTGTGGAACTATTAACTGTGGTTTGTAACCTGTCTTTTACGCAAGTTCTGTCCCTAAGGACTGGATGATAGCTAATGTGATGCCAACATCTAAAAAGGGTTCTAAAGGTGATCCTGGCAATTATAGGCCAGTAAGTCTAAGATCAGTACAGGGCAAATTAGTTGAAACTATAGAAAAGAATAAAATTGTCAGGCACATAGATGAACATAATTTGTTGGAGAAAAGTCAACATGGTTTCTGTAAAGGGAAATCATGCCCTATTAATCTACTAGAGTTCTTTGAGGGGGGGGGTCCAGTAGATATAGTGTCCTTAGATTTCTAGAAAGCCTTTGACAAGGTCCCTCCCCATGATGACTAACTTTACTTCAGAGCCTTTGGGATAACAGGGAAGCTCCTTTCATGGATTGATAACTGGTTAAAAGACAGGAAACAAAGGGTAGGAATTAAATGGTCAGTTTTCAGACTGGAGAGAGGTAACTAGTGGTGTCCCCTGAAGGTATGTACTGGGATCAGTCCTATTCAGTTTATTTATAAATTATCTCAAGAAAGGGGTGAACAATGAGTTGGCAAAATTTGCAGACGATACCAAACTGCTCAAGATAGTGAAGACCAAAGCAGACTGTGAAGAGCTTCAAAAAGATCTCACAAAACTAAGTGACTGGGCAACAAAATGACAAATTAAATTTAATGTTGGTAAATGTAAAATAATACAAACTGGAAAAAATAATCCCAATATACATACAATATGATGGGGACCAATTTAGCTATAACTACTCGAGAGAGATCTTGGAGTGATTGTGTATAGTTCTCAGAAAACAACCACTCAATGTGCAACAGTAGTCAAAAGAGCAAATAATGTTAGGAATCATTAAAAAAGGGATAGCAAATAAGACCAAGAACATCGTATAGCCTCTATATAAAAGCATAGTATGCCCACATCTTGAATACTGCGTACAGATGTGGTCGTTTCATCTCAAAAAAGATATATGGGCATTGGAAAAGGTTTAGAAAAGAGCAACAAAATGATTAGAGGTTTGGAACAGGTCCCATATGAAGAGAGATTAAAAAGACTTGGACTTTTCAGCTTAGAAAAGTGGATACTAGGGGGAAGGGAATATGATAGATTACCAGTACAATCATGACTGGTGTGGAAATAGTGACTAAGGAAAAATTATTTAATTATTCCCATAACATAACTAGCTAGTTTAAAACAACAAAAGGAAGTTTTTCTTCACACAGCTCATGGCCAGCCTGTGAAACTCCTTGCAGGAGGACGTTGTCAAGACCAGGACTTTTATCTAGTTCTTTCTTGAGCTCTGTTAATTCATGGAGGATAGGTCCATCAATAGCTATTAGCCAGGATGGGTAGGAATGGTGTCCCTAGCCTCTGTCAGAAGCTGGGAATGGGTAATAGGAGAGGGATTGCTTGATGATTCCCTGTTCTGTTCATTCCCTCTGGGGCATCTGGCATTGGCCACTGTCGGAAGACAGGATACTGGGCGAGGTGGACCTTTGGTCTGACCCAGTATGGCTGTTCTTAAGTTGGAAAGTGGTTGTTGGGGGTGGTGGGACAGGGAACTTTGGGGCCTGTGGCTATTGATAAAGTGGTGAAGTTAGACCTAGTGGTGGGGTGATGATGGAGCTGTTAGGGAGGTGTGAGGTAGAACAGTGGCATGCTTTCTGAGTCTTACATTCTTCCTACAGGAACAGCATCATGTCTCTTCTCTGAATCCTTGTAGTTAGCTCATCTCTTCTAGTATAAGTTTTACAGTTCCTGAATTCTCTGAAGAGAAATGGATCCAAGCTGTACTTCTGGGGGTGGGCACAAGTCATGTACAGCATTCCTAGCCTCCAAAAAGCATCCCTGAGCTGCACCATGGAGATTTGGCATCCCAAATTCATCCCTAGAGCCTTCCAAGTGTGCAGATGTTCGCTTTATATTTGCTGGTATCATGCGGATATCCGCGGCTCATTTTTGCATCTAGAACCCTGCAAATGTGCTGATATCAGATTTCTATCAGCAGGTATGTATGCAGATATACATGGCTCATGTTTGCAGATGCACATGTGTCTACAAAATTTTTGTATCTGCGCATGGCTCTCTTCAGCTCCCTGAAGGGTAATTTATTAGAGGCTACAGTAGACTGGTTGGAGACATCTGAATTCAATGCACTGATCTAGTAGGTGTCCCCATTCCACCAGCAATTAATATATATCTAGTGATCAGAGTAAGTATCCCAATTTGGCTTGCAGGCCTTGTGTGTGCTTGTAGGCTATAAATTGGTTAAAGGGAGCTGTTAAAAGAACAATTATATAATGTTGATTTCATAAATTACACCAGAAACTTAGCTGTTGGGCTGTATAAACTCTTTATTGCTAAAGAGATATGACAGGACTTAAACTCGCTCCCTTCAGTTAATGTCTTAACTCATCTTTGTATATTCTTTAGGTTTTTATTGACTCGGTTAAAGGAATTCTGTGGAGAATTTTTGAAGAAAAAACTGAATCTCTCCAACTGTGTGGCTATTCATAGCTTAGCTCATATGTATTCCTTGAACCAGCTTGCCCTGAAAGCTGCAGACATGATAAGAAGGAACTTCTGCAAAGTTATCCAAGATGAAGAATTCTACACATTGCCCTTTCACCTCATCAGAGACTGGCTTTCAGACTTGGAAATCACAGTGGACTCTGAAGAAGTTCTTTTTGAGACCATTTTAAAGTGGGTTCAGAGAAATGCTGGTGAAAGAGAGAGGTATTTTGCAGAACTCTTTAAACTGCTCAGGTTGTCTCAGATGAAACCCACTTATCTTACCCGGCATGTCAAATCTGAAAGGCTAGTATCCAGTAACGAAGCCTGTCTTAAATTAGTGTCTGATGCTGTGGAAAGTCATGCCCTGAGGGCTGAGAACTTGCAGTCTGGTAATTTGCAACATGCTGCTTACCCTGTAGCATTGCTGCCTCGCTTTGGGCAAAATATGGATGTCATCATGGTGATTGGTGGTGTATCAGAGGGAGGAGATTATTTAAGTGAGTGTGTGGGGTATTTCATTGATGAAGACAGGTGGGTAAACTTACCACACATACATAATTACCTTGATGGACATGCTGTTGCTGTTACAGAATCATATGTTTATGTGGCTGGCTCCATGGAGCCTGGCTTTGCCAAGACTGTAGAAAGGTACAATCCAAACAGAAATGTGTGGGAGCAAGTCTGTAATCTAGTAAGCAAAAAACATTCTTTTGGCCTTACTGAAGTCAAGGGAAACTTGTACAGTATTGGTGGACATGGCAACTTCAGTCCTGGCTTTAAAGATGTAGCCATTTACAATCCTGAGCAAGACAAATGGCACAACCTGGAGTCAGCCCCAAAGATCCTTCGTGATGTCAAAGCAGTCACCGTAGAAGATAGATTTGTTTACATTGCTGCTCGAACCCCAGTGGACAATGATAGTGAAGATGGCTTAAAGGCATTAATTACCAGATATGACACAGAGACAAGGCACTGGCAAGACATTGAGTCGCTGCCACTCATTGATAACTACTGCTCTTTTCAGATGTCCGTTGCCAACACAAACTTTTACCAGACAGCATCATGCTGCCCCAAGAGTTACCCCATAGATAATGAAGAGGCTAAGAGACAGATCTCTGGCAGAATGCCAGACGAGATTCTGGAAAGTTTGCCTCCAGAAGTTCTTATTATTGAAGGGGCAGCCATTTGCTATTATAAAGATGATGTTTTCATCATTGGTGGGTGGAAGAACAGTGATGATATAGATAAGCAATACAGAAAAGAGGCCTATCGTTACTGTGCTGAGAGAAAACGATGGATGCTTCTGCCTCCCATGCCGCAACCTCGCTGTAGAGCAACAGCCTGCCATGTGAGAATACCATTCAGATGCTTACATGGTACACAAAGATACCCTATGCCACCAAACTTGATGTGGCAAAAGGATAGAATACGGCAGATGCAGGAACAACATCGACATTCTTTAAACACGCGAGGAATGCCCCGCTCACAGATTGAGTGCTAATTCATGGAAGACCATTCCTATAATTAACCTGGTTTAAGAATACAGTGTTATCTATTTTGTAAGTCTTAGTACATTGCCATCATGTATTAAGATTTGGGTGGCTGATTTGATGCATAAAAGTAATATTGTTACTTAAATTTTGAGGGTGGGAAATAGTTAACATCTAAAATCCCTCTCGTGTATCATTGAGAAGAGCATACAGTAGCCTGGGTTCCTGTGTGATGAAATGCCTGACACTTTAAGAAAATATAGTGCAGAATCTGTTAATTCTCTTGTCAGGCCCTTACTTTCAAGGATTTGTATGGATTTTAAAAAAACAAATCCAACTTAATGCATTTTAACCATTATATTTAGATATATTCTTAAAGCACCAATTTTATTTGCACTTACATGAATTTAATGTTGATAAATGTAAAGTAACGCACATTGAAAAAAATAATCCCAATTATACATATAATATAAAAAGGGAAATAAGAACAATCCAGTAAACTATAGACCAGTCAGTTTAACTTATGTGCCAGGAAAGATAATGGAGCAAGTAATTAAGAAAATCATCTGCAAATACTTGGAAGATAATAAGGTGATAGGGACCAGCCAGCATGGATATATAAAATAGGCAAATACAATAGGCTTAGATATGGCTACTATGAGGTGGGTGCATAACTGGCTGGATAACCATTCTCAGAGACTAGTTATTAACGGTTCACAATTCTGCTGGACAGGTATAACAAGGGTTGCACAGGGGTCTGTTTTGGGACCAGTTCTGTTCAATATCTTCATCAACTATTTAAATATCGGCATAGAGAGTATGCTTATTAAGTTTGCAGATAATACCAAGCTCAGAAAGGTTGCAACTGCTTTGGAGGACAGGGTCATAATTCAAAATGATCTGGACAAATTGGAGAAATGGTAATTGGAAGCAAACAGGATGAAGTTTAATAAGAACAAATGCAAAGTGCTCCACTTAGGAAGGAACAATCAGTTTCACACATACAGAATGGGAAGTGACTGTCTAGGAAGGTGTACGGCAGAAAGATATCTAGGGGTTATAGCGATGCAAAGTGCTCCACTTAGGAAGGAACAATCAGTTTCACACATACAGAATGGGAAGTGACTGTCTAGGAAGGTGTACGGCAGAAAGATATCTAGGGGTTATAGCAGACCACAAGCTAAATCTGAGTCAACAGTGTGACGTTGTTGCAAAAAAAAGCCAACATGATTCTAGGATGCATTAACAGGTGTGTTGTGAGCAAGACACGAGAAGTCATTTTTCCGCTCTACTCTGCGCTGATTAGGCCTCAGTTGGAGTATTGTATCCAGTTCTGGGCACCGCATTTCAAGAAAGATATGGAGAAGTTGGAGAAGGTCCAGAGAAGAGCAACAAGAATGGTTAAAGCTCTAGAGAACATGACCTATAAAGGAAAGAATTGGGCTTGTTTAGTTTGGAAAGAGAAGATTGAGAGGGGACATGATAGTGGTTTTCAGGTATCTAAAAAGATGTCACAAGGAGGAGGGAGAAAAATTGTAATTCCTGGCCTCTGAGGATAGAACAAGAAGCAATGGGCTTAAACTGCAGCAAAGGAGGTTTAAGCTGGCCATTAGGGAAAAGTTCCTAATTCTCAGGATGGTTAAACACTGGAAAAAATTGCCTAGGGAGGTTGTGGAATCTCCATCACTGGAGATATTTAAGAGTAGTTAGATAAATATCTGTATGGGATGGTCTAGACAGTACTAGGGTCTGCCATGAGGGCAGGGGACTGGACTCGATGACCTCTCGAGGTCCCTTCCAGTTCTAGTATTCTATGATTCTATGATGAGAGAGCCCTTGGAGTCATTGTGGATAGTTCTCTGAAAACATCTACTGAGTGTGCAGCGGCAGTCTAAAATGGTAACAGAATGTTAGGAATCATTAAAGGGATAGAGAATAAGATAGAGAACATTTTATTGTTTCTATATAAAACCATGGTACACCCACATCTTGAATACTGCCTTCAGATGTGGTCACCTCCTCTCAAAAAATATATGTGGGCATTAGAAAAGGTTCCAGAAAAGGGCAACAAAAATGATTAGGGGTTTGGAACGGGTCCCACATAAAGAGAGATTAAAAAGACTGGAACTTTGCAGCTCAGAAAAAAGGAGACTAAGGGGGGGCTATGATAGAGGTCTATAAAATCATGATTGGTGAGGAAAAAGTGAATAAGAAAAAGTTATTTACTAGTTCCCATAAAATAAGAACGAGAGGTCACCAAATGAAATTAATAGGTAGCAGGTTTGAAACAAACAAAAGGAAGTTTTTCTTCACGGAGTGCACAGTCAACCTGTAGAACTCATTGCTAGAGGAAGTTGTAAAGACCAGGACTTTATCAGGGTTCAAGAAAGACCTAGATAAATTCATTGAGGTTAGGTCCATCAATTGCTATTAACCAGGATGGGTAGGAATGGTGTCCCTAGCCTCTGTTTGTCAGAGGATGGAAATGGATGACAGGAAATTGATCACTTGACTATTCCTTGTTCTGTTTACTCCCTATGTGGTATCTGTTTACTCCCTATGGCCACTGTTGGAAGACAGGATACTGGGCTAGATGGACCTTTGATCTAACCCAGGATGGTCATTCTTAAGTTCTTATGGCTATTCAGATTTTATTTTTAAATGTCAACCAACGTTTAACTCCCCTAGTAGTAAATTCAAAAAGACTAAGAATACTTCATATGATCTCCTTGGAATTCAGGTGGAGGACCAGGCCACCCAATAGACCTACTGCTCTGTTCTAAAAACCAATTGCCAGCTGGAAGTAGGAAAAATCAGGTGGAAATTTTCAGATGAAGTTTCCACTGAGTTGATTTTTACAATACTTTATTGTAAGAAAAGCCCTAGTAAATCAGTGTATTAGATGTGTTCATAGGTATCTCCCATAATTTGTACAATAAACCATAGAAATGAATCATTAATATGAAAGCAACTGGTATAAACAAATGGATTGAGAAATAAGTGTTTGCACTCTCATCCCCGATCTGATCATGATTTCTTCCATAATTCTGGGTTTTATTGCATACTGAGACATTTTCAAAATTGGCTTCTTGTTTTGGGAGCCTCAATTTCAGACAACTTTGTGTTTTATTTGTCAGAAGAGTTGCACACCCACAGCTCTCACCGAGTACATTGGGGCTACGTCTACAATGGCATGATTTTCCGAAAATGCTTTTAACGGAAAAGTTTTCAGTTAAAAGCATTTTCGGAAAAGCACGTCTAGATTGGCAGGATGCTTTTCCGCAAAAGCACTTTTTGTGGAAAAGCGTCCGTGGTCAATCTAGACACGGTTTTCCGCAAAAAAGCCCCGATTGCCATTTTCGCGATCGGGGCTTTTTTGCGGAAAACAGTACTGTGCTGTTTACACTGGCCCTTTTGTGCAAAAGTCTTTTGGAAAAAGACTTTTGCCTGAAAGGAAGCAGCATAGTATTTCCGGAAAAGCACTGATGATCTTACATGAGATCAAAAGTGCTTTTCCGGAAATTCAAGCGGCCAGTGTAGACAGCTGGCAAGTTTTTCCGCAAAAGCCGATGATTTTTCGGAAAAACTTGCCAGTCTAGACACAGCCTGGAAGTTGTAGGTGCTCCGCCTATAAGGCCAAGGTGTTTCAAGTTTGGCACCCAAAAATCAGCCCACTTTTGAAAATGCTTGTTTTAACCACTCTTTTTCCTGCTCACTTTAAAATGGAGATAATAAAAATATTTATTTACCTGCCATCTGGGGATGTTAATGTTTATAAAGAAAAGATGTGATGAGTATTATTTTTATTGGATTTTTTTTTTTGCCTGTATGGAGCAGTCCCTATCCCTCTTTTGGTGCTCTCATGATGATTTTCATATCTTATGCCACCCTTGCTCATGCCATCATCACTTCTTACAGGATGGATCTCGTCCCAGGTGAAAGAGACTAGTCATCAAGCCTGGGGTAGAATTGAGAGTTGAATTCACTCCACCTCAGAAGGGGATCCTGTAGAACTGGCCCCATACTAAGGACAAAATATCTGAATTTACCTCCCATTGAAAATTAGTAGGAGTCTTTCCCCTAAATTCAATGAGAGTTGTATTGGGAAATAATTGGCGTACAAATATTTAACATCTATTCTAGTTGTTTAAAATATTTACAGACTATGAATTCATAAAGCATTTTGCACACTGTTTTTAACCATGCCTAAACGCTTAGTGATAGAAGAACACTCCTGGTTTAATCAAATCGGAAAAACAGCTAAGAATTTCAAGGATAAACATTTCTCCATTCTCCATCATTTTTCTATAAATATTGTTTTTAAAACAATGTAACATTGGTCCTGTGTTTGTCTGGTATTTGCAGCCAGAGCCACAAAGCATTAAAGCACAGATTGTCTTCAACCCTCTCTGAAGCGAGGCATGAGCATAGAATACAGTTTAAAATACACACTGTGTGTGTGATAGCTTTTTCTAAAAATTTTACACATGGCACTGTGATATAGTGGGGTGTGCTGTACACTCTTGTGGCCCTGGGTCCACTCTGGTTGGGCATTCACTGGTTGTTGTGTTGTGCTGTGGGTGACCCCTACTGGCCTGTGTCTGTAAGCACTGCCCGGTGGGAAGGGGGTCCCTGAGGGCTGTGCACTTAGACCATGACTAGCAACTTCTCACTTAGCTAGGGGAAGGGGTTTAAACAAAGGAAGGGGTGTGGCTACCTGGGGGGGATGAGGGTTCTGTGGTTTTGAGAAGGGGCAGTCTGAGCATGGGGAAGCATGGAGGAAGCAGACTAAAACCAGTATAGGGGGGTTCAGGGGCCTGTGAACCCCTTCCCCCCAAGGGAACTAGGGCTGTCGGCCTATCCTCCTATGCCTACATCAAGCATATGCTGCGCTGTATGTCTGAGAAGCAATAAACCCTCTCTATTCTACTGGCCTTTGGAGTCACATCTTGCTGTAGATGGGGATGCAGGGTTGGGGGTCCCCGATGTGCCATCACATGCACTTTTACATCTTTAAGGATCCAAAAGTGCAGTGTGAACTAATATACAATTTACATGTATGATCCTTACACCTGTGCTGTAATTCATCTGCATCTGAGGAAAACTTGGCGACTGATCAACAGCTCACAGGAACGCTACAAAACAGCTAAGGATGTGAAAGCAATACCGTATCCATTTAAAACCACAAAGACACTTTTAGTTAATCATAATGTGCTTAAGCAAGCTAGAATTTAAGTAGGCCACCAGAGTTACAATCTGGCCCCTATATCTTTAGAGATGGTAGGCAAAAGATTTTAAATATAAGTGTTTATGAAAAACTTCTGATTTTCATCAAAGTGCAACTATGATGGAAATTTACCACCAGCTTTACCTTGTCTGACCACAAATGGGCTTCACT